ATAACTGTCCCACGACTAACCCAAACCATGGGTGACATAGTTCCTCTCATAATCTTTCAACTGTCTTGAGGTATAGATCACAAAGCCTTCGTCACCTTCCAGAATTATCAAAATCGATGCGCTTATTAATCTCCTCTTCAGCTCTTGGAAACTCTGCTTACGGTTATCACTCCATTCAAACGTTTTCCCTTTCAAGTAGGTGTTGTTAGGGGCATAGTCAACTTGGAAAAACCTTCCACAAACTTTCTATAGTATCTTGCTAATCCAAGAAAACTTATGATCTCGTTAGCATTCCATGGACGGCTTCAGTTGCTTATGGTTTCCACCTTCGTAGGATCTACCATCACGCCATTCTTAGAGATCACATTGCCTATGAATGCCACATTATCTAGACAAAGTTCCCACTTTGTGAATTTAGCATACAGTCAATTCCCTTTCAAAATTTGCAAAACTATCCTCAAATTCTCGTTGTCCTTCTCTTAAGTCTTAGACTGGATATGGATATCATCAATTAACATAATAATAAATTTATCAAGGAAATCCCTAAACACTTGGTCCATCAAGTCCATCAATATTGTCAATGTATTCGGCGGTCTAAACAACACGCCTTAAACTCATATTAATCATACCTACTTTGAAAGGTAAACCTCAGATTATCATCCTCTTTAGTCCTCAACTAATGGTAGCCAGATCTTAAGTTTAACTTGAAGAACACTGTTGCACCCTTCAACTAACCAAACAAGTCATCAATCTTCGATAGTGGATACCTATTCCTTATTGTCACCTTATTCAGTTCTATACAATCCATCCACACTCATAGAATTGTCCTTACTCCTAGCAAACAACATGGTGTATGAAACCATGTTCCAGCAACCCTATAATTACTTGTGTAATTCCTTTAGTTCAACATGTGTCATTCTATAAGGCGCTTTTTAAATCAATCCATTCCAGACATAATTTCAGTCTCAAATTCCATTTTACTATCTGGTTGTAACCAAGCAGATCGTCTAGAAATACTTCACCAAAATCCTTATTGACATGCGCATCTACTAACTTCAGCTTTTCTTCCACCTTTTTCTTATCCACTATGCTAGCCATAAAAAACATACATCCATTGGCTTACATTTGTTGTGCATCTTAGTCTCCTTCCTCGGTTCACCCATTTATTGGAACTGTTTTTCACCTTCGAGTCAGCTCATATAAGCTGGAAAATTCCAGCACTCATAGAATGACGAAAATTCACTAAAAATTCCTTAAAATACAAAACCATTATGCTCAACATGCATTAATCACATTCTATCTATTATTCAACCCATGACCTGATTCTTACACTTAAAATCATAAAAACATGCTTGTAATTCCAAAATATCGACTTCCTATTCTAGGAAGTAACACGGCAAGAATATGTCAATAATAATAAAGACAACCCAAAATATAAAGTAATTTACAAGCCATTAAATGATCCTTCTAATTAGAATTGATAACTTAAAGAAAGAAAAAATGTACTTGACTGTTTAGCAAAACCACCGGTCAACAAAATCGTAATTCCATTAGTAAAGGAGTAAAAGAGAGAACTATCATTCGAATAGATTTATAAAAACAAAGAATGAACAAATTGGTGGTAAAATCATAATATTATATCAACTACTAAGACAATGCTTCCGTTGAACATGTTTTCTATGAATTGCAGAAAGCCACAACCACCAATATGACATGCTTGACTATCGAAGAATCAAATTAAAAACCTTTAGCCCTAGATAATAAAACCATATATCAATCGTATAGCCTCACTCAATCATCATCTTATGAACATTCCTCTTCTCCCTCTCAAACAAAAACCATCAAAACATTTACCCAAACCCTCCAAAGACATTTAAACCAAAACCAAACAAACGACAAGAAAGAACTATACCTCAAAAATCTTTATATTTTCTTGGATGATTAGAGAACTCACAGACTCGAGAAGTAGTGGGATTTGATGGCTGGTTGTGGAAATCTCTGTGGTATTCTTGAACGTGAAAGAGAAGGAAGAGGGAGGGAGAATGAGGAATAGAGAGAGCCTAAAAATGTCGATAGAGAGAGGGAGATATTAGGCAACAAAGAGAATAATAGCGTGAGGGTCTAAAAAAATAGAATTTTTATGGGTCAATACGCATATGAAAATTATGAGAAATTAATTTTGGAATTAACTTCAATACTAATTGGCTTAAAACTAGGTGATTTATGGGCTGGCAATTGGCACAGAGACGTAAACGTGTGAAGCAATAAGTTTTTTTTTTTTTTTTTTTCCTTGCTCCCATGCACGCTGGTCACACTCTGTATAATACATATTACACGTATTACGTAGTACATTATAAATATGTACTCATATAGGTATGTGTATTATATATATATATGGGAAATTCTCCGGAAAATCCCCAGGAAATCATTGACTTTAGGCAGCAGAGTTGACATTGTAATATATGTAATTATTAGGGCAGAATTGACGATTTGATCTCATAATTAGTGCAGTTTTATTGTTTTCCTAGCCTAGTTGTAACCGGCCCTAGCAGCCTATAAATGTACTCTCTTTTGCTGAATAATACAAGTTGAGCAATTCACCTCAAACTTCATGGTCTCAGAGTCAAACGAGATCTGTAAAATGGCTGGAAAGGAAACCACTTCTTCGTCTTCCTCATCTTCCTCTCCCTCATCTTCCTCTTCATCTATCACTAATCTTTAATATGGTGATAACTCTTCCCTTCAAATAACCAGTCACAAACTGAATGGAAAAAATTTCCTTCAATGGTCCCCATCCGTTCTTATGTTGCTTTGTGGGAAAGGCAAGATCGGCTACATCAATGACGAAATCAAAAAACCAAGCGCCGGAGATGCTGATTACGCTGCAGCATGGGAATTAAACAATTCCATTGTGATGGCATTGCTAATTAACTCTATGGAAATGAGTATGAGCCACACATATCTTTTCTTCAAAACCGTAAAAGCCATTTGGGAGATGGTAAAGGATAATTACTCGGATTTTGAGAATGCTTCTCAAGTTTTTGAAATCAAGATGCAACTTAAGGAGATTCGGCAAGGTAAACTTGATGTTACAAGTTATTACAACTCACTAAAAATCTGTGGCAGGAGCTTGATCTATGAGGCCGACTGGGGTGATGTTGACAAGCATGTGAAATTCAAAGCACATCTCGACAAGGAGCGTCTATATGACTTTCTTGCAGGACTCAACCAAGACCTTGTTGAAGTCTGAGGAAGGATTCTAGGTAGGAAGCCTCTTCCGACAATCAGCGAAGCCTTTGCTGAAGTCCGACGTGAGCAGAAGAGGCGGAGTGTGATGTTGAGAGACTTCAAAGAAAGCGAACAAGTTACAATGGTGGGAGAGAAGTCGATTAAGACTACAGCCTTGGCCGCGAATAGGATTGAGGGGGCTGCCAAACCAAGCAAGCAGAATGAAAGACTGTGGTGCAATCATTGTAACAAGCAGGGTGAAAGACTATAGTGCAATCTTGTCACCTGGAAGAGCAAGAAGCAATCAGTGGTAGCTCGTAGTAGCGTTGAGGCTGAGTTTCGGGCAGTTGCTCACAATATTTGTGAGGGAATATGGATAACTCGGCTATTGAGGGAACTAAGAATACCACAGGAGAACCCCATAAAGCTATACTGCGACAACAAGCAACAATTAACATTGCTCATAATCCAGTGTACCATGACAGGACCAAACATGTGGAAATAGACAGGAATTTCATCAAGGAGAAGATCGACAATGGGAGTGTTTGTGTAGTCTACTTACCTGCAAAACAACAAGTTGTCGATGTTCTAACCAAGAGTCCCTCAAAACCTAGATTCCATGAGTTAACTAGCAGGCTAGGCCTGATCAATATATATGCCAAGCTTGAGGGGGAATGTGGGAAATTCTCCAGGAAATCCCCATAAACTCATTGACTTTAGGCAACAGTTGACATTAGGCAGCAGAGTTGACATTGTAATATATGTAATTATTAGGGCAAATTTGACTTATGTAATTAGGGCAGATTTGATCTTGTAATTAGTGTAGTTTAATTGTTTTTCTTAGCCTAGCTGTAACCGGCCCTAGCAGCCTATAAATGTACTCTTATAATACAAGTTTAGCAATTCACCTCAAACTTCAATATAATCTAGAGATAAAAATTAACCATCACACAAATTTATCGCATCATCTCCTAAATTTAAGGATTTGGCATGAATTTATTCTTGCACCATGAGTCCTCGTCGCATTCACCTATTCAAATTAACTAAACGTAACGTTAGGACAAACTAACTATAATACCATAACTATATCCATGTTAATTCGTAACATCTTATTCATAACAATATTGTTAGTTAGAATTTTGGGCGCTACATCTTAACTACATACCTTGCCATTTCAAAAATTAAAGAAAAAAACAAAGCAACACTACAATGTGACCCCATATTCAAATTAAACCTGTAACGAGAGCAATGAAAATAATTCAAACGTGTTGTTGATGAAATCCAAAAGAAAAAAATAAAGAGTCTGTTGATAATAAAATATGGAAAGAAAATAACAACTAGAAATAAAGAAATTGAAAACCATAGTTGTTCGGTTTAAGCATCTATACCTAACCTACGAAAAGAAGAATGCAAAATAATTAAAATGTGCCGAGGATAAGCTTAAAGAACATAAATACTTAAGAACAAACCTAAAAGAATATTGGATTCTACGATCCCAACTACAATACCTCGCCATTCAAAAATACGAAAAAAAAAACAAAACAACAGTAGAATGAGTCACTGATCCAAATTAAACCCGTAACGAAAACAATAAAAATAATTAAACGCGTTGTCGATGAAATATAAGAGGAATGAAGTAAAGAGGCAACTAAAAATAACATATATAGAAAAAATAACAAATCTAAAATCAAGAAATTCAAAGCCATAGTGATACGATTATAGCATCGATACATAACATGCAAAAAGGAGATCCAAAATAATTCAAAGGTGCCGAAGATTGTGTTCTGTAATTGTAGTTACAATACCTCACCATTTCAAAAATCAGAAGAACAAAGCAAGACTACATGGAAATCCTAAATTAAAATTAAACCTGCAATGAGAACAATAAAAATAATTTAAATGTGTGGTCGATGAAATTCAAGAGAAATGAAGCAAAGACGTCTCTGAAAGTAAATGATGGAGAGAAAAATAGTAACCCACAATTAATAACATCAAAACTATAGTTGTCCACTTTCAGCATCCATACATAACCTGTGAAAAGGACGATCAAGAATAATTAAAAGGTGTCAAAGATAAGTTTAAAGAGTGTAATGCAAGGGAAATACCCATGTTATTTGGCGGGATTGAGTGTGACAGAGAATCTATATTGTTTGGGTTCAGTCTGAACCGAAAACCAATAAAACAGAAGATGGGTGATGAGTGTGAGTGATTATTGCCATCTTCTCCTCATGTCAATTTCTATTCTTTTTTTTTTTATCTATATCAAAGGGAAAAGGAGTTACACATGAGAAAATCAAAAATCCCCCAAAAAAAAAAGTTTTTTTTTGTGTGAATAGAACAACAATTTTATGGCAAAGAATCACATCCACACAACAATTACTTTGATAATGGTCTCTCTCTCATGCCCGAATTGATGGCTCTTCGTTCATCCGAATGCATAGATGGAGAGCACAAACAAAAGGGAGAGAGAGGTGAAACAAAAGGAAAGAGGAAAAAGCTGGAGGAGAAAAGAAGGGGAAACAGACGACGTTAGAAAGGAAAGAGAAAAAAACAAAAACAAAAAAAAAAACCTAGAGCACAAAAGGAATGAAGCTGGCCCTCAAACAGTAATTAAAAAGAACTGAGATTTATCATAGAATAACCATAACTATTATTTCCATCTTTAGTGCAATGTTCCCTTCAATATTAAGTTGCTAAATAGTAAGATTCCGGTAGAAAAAACTCGCCTAATTTAAAGATTAATTGAGTAAGATCTCCGAATTAATAAACTAAGAGAGAGAGACAAAAAAACTCACCATGGTTGAATGGACCCTCATGTGTTGTAGAAGGAGCTAAGGCCTGTTCATGACTCAGCCTAATCAGTGCCCAAAACCAACAAAATAAACCCAGTAATAGAAAAGAGACACAAAAGAATTATGAGATAGATAAGGTAGCGACTCACCAAAAGAAGAGCATGAGAGGCATTTAAGATAGGGCAAACAAAGATAGAAGATATCTAAAATGTCGAACATAATATTAGTTCCTCTAAAATCATGACAAAAGCATCCATAAGGATAAATAAACATCCTCTAAAATCAAGTATTAGAAACCTGAAAGTTCTAAAATAAGAGTAAAAGATAGATAAAGGCACTATTCCAAAGGACATGAGTCACCAAAAAGAGGTTGATACTGTGGGAATAGACTTCACAAAGTTCTTAAGACTATCAAATTCCATTTGTCAACGTGCATCCAAGTTCGTAAGGTTATCGATCTGCATCTGCAGAGTCTTGAAGGTCTTGCGTATTTGTTCCTGACTTTGAGTAGAGAAATAACCTTTTTTTTATCTCCTTCTTATCCCGATCATGTGCTAAGGACATTATTCATTATATCTTTCTCTGCCATTAATGTGGGCGGTGTAGAGGTATTTCCCTCAGCTACATCACTTGAATGACCAGTTTGAGTTTGCAAATATATCATCTTGTGCTGTCAATTGAAAATGAACAAGTGAAAAGAAAAACTAATGAATACTGAATTATAAAGAAACACAAAAAAACAAATAAATAAAAACTTGCATAATTCTCCTCTGGTACTGTCCAGTTCAACCCTTAGTCTTGTGATGGCACATATCATGACAGAGCTCAATTAGTCCACTAGAATTATCAAGCTCCTTTGCTTTTTGCTACAAAAGAACACAATCTTAATATTTGAGGTAGTGATGTGTTATCTCTAATAATTCAGAGTCATGAAAGCAAAACCACCAAATGGAGCCAGGGCACTAAGAGAAATACTTCCTTTTCTCAAGGACCGCCACGGCATAACATGTCCCAAAGAATGCTCTAAAAATGGTCAGCAGAGATTGAATTTTACCACAAGCATTAAAATGTCTGATTCTTAGATAAAGAAGGCTGTAAAAATGGTCAGCAGAGATTGAGTTTTACCGCAAGCATTTAAATGTCTGATTCTTAGATAAAGACGTCTTCTTTGCTTTAAAGTACTACATATATTTAAATTCTTTTAATTGATATCGGACAAGCTAAATAATTGCATTAAACATAAAATAGGATACACATCTACTCATTCCAATCACAAAACTTTGTCATACCAACCCATTTTTGTATTAATAAATGAATAGGAGAAAATCATAAATATGGATCCAAAGAGTCAGTAAACTCCAATCACAAAGCACAGTCACAAGATTTTGTCCACGTGGAAATCTCATTTTCATCCATATTTCTTTTGTTAAGGCCAAATAAGAGTCAAAAGAGCAAAGCATGTGACTAAATGGCATTAGCATATCATAACTACTACTTAAAGGATCATCAAAAGTGATTTTATACTTTATTCTCTATAAACTAAAGTGGATGTATGTATGTATATATAGATTAGTATGTGATTTATAACTTCTCATATACACATCATGCGTGAAATCCGCTTGGTTGAATACAAGAAATCACAGAAACCATCATGGGGAACTCTATTTTTCTACTAATGATATAAATTTAAACACAACCATAGCAGATCAAAATGAAATACCTTATCAAACACGTGAGAAGCAAATGATTTAGCTCCTTGAATGCTGATTCAAAGCATTGGTTGCTGATTTTTTCTGCAAAGTTAAAAAGCAGTTGTTATATAACCTATAAATCACATAAAAAATGTATGAAGGCTCTGAAGGTATTTACATAACTTACCTTATACTTTTTAGTTGACTAATAGTCGCATAACTAATCCCAACCTGTCGGCACCAGAACCTGTTTGTGTTTGTATTTTTTGACTTCCTCTGGATTGTCCACACTTTTTTGTATGAAATATTTTTACAGCTGACACCTCCAATCTTTCGATTGCTTGTTTAACAGACGGTCGATGGAGTCTAATATCTTGGCTTTTTTTTTCTCAATCAACCTCATTCCATTCGAACTTATGCTACAACAATAATATCCAAAATGGGACTATAATTCAACAAGACTTTCTGTTGAAAGAAATTAGGTGGTTCTATATTATTGCCTTGAGTCTAGCATCGCCACTTTGTTTGGTTCTGGAATATCCCTCCAAGCCTTGACTTGGAGCAGGGTTATGTGGCGCGCAATCAAACCTACCAACCTAACTCAGATGACCACCTTTCGCCTACTTTTCCTACCCCTTTATATGTATTAGGAAAACATTCTGGAGTCATTTTTCCAGAGCAACTAACAATTCTGTCATGTGCAATACAACGTGTTTCTTCTCGAGCATGTCTTGTTGTAATAATTGAAAAATAATAATAATCAGCAGTGATCAAAATAATAAAAAGAGAGTACATTGTTCTTACAATCTTATTTTTACTTGTAGAGTTGGCAGCCATTGTAGGTGCAAGAGTAGAATCAACGGCAGCCACAACGTTTCTCTTATTAGCAATGAAATAAGCAATATAAGAAACTATATATTTGTTACTAACAATGAAAGAAGCAAGGTATGAAGTAATTTATATAATTAACAAGTGGCAGAAACAAAAAATAAACAACTGACTTAACATAAATTCAGCAATGCTACATCTGTTACTGACATAAATCATGACAAAATCTTCTGTATCATCATCAACATACTTTCATGTACTCTTCCGACAAACGATTGGACAACATAATCCACCTCTTGTTAATTGACATGTTTGTTAATCACCAGATTTAATGAAATTAAGATAACAAATATCTTAAAACCATAATGATAAACATGTTCAGAGTTTTAAGGTATAACATAATATTAAACAAACAGAGAAAAGGAAACAAACAAGCAAGAAGTCATGAACACATTAAAGATTAAAACAAGCAAAGTCAGAGAAAAGGAAAATGAATCACAACTGATTGTACAATGAAAACTTTCAATTCATACAACAATAAACATGTTGGAATAGCAACATGGAGCAATAGCACATTACATGAATTAATTAGAAAGATGTTCACATAAACCTAAGACCTGCAGCAATTATCAAAAATAGTGAAGCTCTACAAACCAACTGTCAATTGAATAAACAATCCGGATTCTTGAGTGCATCTATGCCGGGGTATTGCCGTTGGCAACGCAAGTCTCGCAGTGCAACCCTATGTCACAGCCATTGTCCTTCAACCAAGTCTACCCAATAGTGAGAGGTGATGTTGAGGTGACCGTCGGACACGATGAATCAACAGAAGAAGGAATGCCCGTTGGGGAGATTGATATTTGATAGGTTTACTTGTGTCTCTAAGGTTGCTTATTATTTTAACTAATCAAATACTCTCTAGGTTCTTCAACCAATGAAATCCCAAACAATACCAAACACGTCAAGGCTTTTCAAATTCTCACAAGACAAAGAAGAAGGAATTCGAAACCGCCTAGTTTCCCTCCTATTTTGTGGCTTTCCCTCGGAGAACAAAGGCATACAATTTGAATGAATTGACAAAAAAACCCCTATTTCAAACTCAACCAAATTCAAATCAAACCCTAATTTTACTATCCAGATTCAAAAATACACTTCATTTTTTCCTTCCTTTTGGTTCCCCTTGATAGATACATATCTTTGGGGCAAAAAAAGTGAGTCCTTATGATGAAAACCAACATAAGATAGCATATTTCTTATGAAAACAACAACAACAGTCATTTAAGCTAGAAAAACCTATACTAGCAAACAAAATTCTCAAAATAAGTTGCTAACTACACCTTTGATATCACTTTCAGTTTTTGTTTTCTGAGTTAAAGTAAAACATCTCAAGCCAAACTTTGAAAAGATCTTCTCTCTTTTTTGTTTCACTTTTTGTTGATGAGAAAACAAAAATCGTAAAAATTATCAAACAAGTTCAATTTTAATAAGGGTTACATTCATACATAATATTCCCAATATTTTACAAATCCACTTTAATGTTTTACGAATCGTGTCAAAATTGTCACCTACATTTTACAAATCAAGTTAAAAATCTTTCCCATAATTCTTGTTGAAAATCTTGGGAGAGGATATATGTTTCTGATAAATTGGGATAAACATAAAAGAACAAAGGAGATTTTTGTTACAATCCTCAAAATCCAATAATCACTAAAACAATAAACAAATAATTGAACTTAATAAAACAAATAATTCTTCTTAATTTCCATAAATGAAATGAAAAAAACATCCTTAGAACTGAGGACAGAGTAAATATACCTAGACGAGAATTGATTGTGAAGTTATTCCCTCTCACTTTATTACCACAAACGGGACAAGTTACCTCCTCACTCACATCAGAATGCTCTTCTCTACCTCCAAAACTCTCAACTTTATCCTTTTCACCACAAACTACCATTGCATATCCTTCCGAACTCTACGTCGACACGATTTTGCCATCTTTATCAGTACACAGATTCAACGAACTCTGCAACCAAAAAACAAAAAAGAAATTGCTCTCATTGAAATGAAAATCTAGTCTTGACAATGATTTTGACGGAAAATTTTCGAAAGAGAAACGGAAATCGAAGAGAGAGAAAGCGGGAATGCTTGGATCGGAGAAGAAGATAGAAGAGCTTCGCGGTTGGGAAGGAATCGCATGCGTTTGCCGACCAATCGGAGCATTTTTAGAGAAAGAGTAAAGTTCGCTCCTATTTTGCCCTAGCAGAACCTGAGATATTGGGCCTTCTGTCTCCGCAGATTTTGGACACCGGATTCGCAGGTTCTAATAACGAAGTTCCCAAAACCGTCTCCGTGCTTAGCTTTCTCTTAAAAGGGTTCGACGACGGCGGTTGTGGCAGGAGCGGGCTCTTCAACTTGGCGGCGGAGATTGCCGGCGACTACTCCGGAATCGGGGGCAACAAGTTCGGATCTGATGGCGGAGCGTTCTCCTTGGAGCCCCTCTGTTTCCGCGACGGCCGGGGCTTGGCTGTGCTAGGGTTGGGCGAGGTCGGAGACTCTATCGTCGTATCCCTCAAGACCGCGTTTCTAGGCTGCATGAAGTGCTTCATGGCTATGAAATCTAGAGAGAGAACGAGAGAAGAAATGGATGAGAGAGAGAAATTGAGAGGGTTTTGGATTGGAAATGGAAGGAGAAAATTTGATAAAAGAGACCGGAGCAAAACAGAATTTGAGAAAGTAGATTAGTTTTTTTTTATAACAAAAAAATTATGATGTGTATGTGACGTGGCAAAAAATGGGTTCTATTAGTCTAAGGGTCCGTTTAGTTCGCTGATTCGAGTTTTTAATTCGAGTTGAGATGTGATTTTATGTGATAGCTTTTCACTGTAGCAAAAAAGTTAGATGTGATTGTTTGTGAAAGCTTTTTACTGTAGCAAAACTCGAATTCTAAACTTGAATCAGCGAAATAAACGGGGCCTAAGTGTATGGGTCATTTTCAAAAACTCTCTCCTCACAAAACCGACCGCTCGACCCTTTCTCCCCCCGAAACCGACCGCTCAACCATCTCTCCTCCCGACTGAGCTCTCTCACGACTGACCGCCAATTTTTCTCTCCGATCTCCTCTCACCGACCGCCGGCTTTTCTCTCCGATCAGTCACGAACCTCACGACCGACCATCACCGACCGCCGACTTTCCTCTCACCTGTTTCTCTCTCTCTCGCCGAAGTTCTCTCACCGGCCGATCCACTCTCTCCGATCTCTCTCGTCGGCCGACCGACCACTCCTCACCAAACACCGACTGTTCACCAAAAACTGACCTCCCTTCCCACTAAAACCGACCAAAAACCGACCCCGAACACTCACCAAATTCCCGACCACAAAAACCGACCACCTGCTCACCAAAATCCGACTAAAAACCGGCGACTTTTAGACTGAAATGGCATCATAAAACAACTCTTCCTCAACTAAAACGGCCATTTTCCGAACACTTGTTGACGAGGCAACGGAATCTGTTCAGGTAATATTCTTGTTTTACTTTTTCTTATACATTTTTGCAAGAACAAAAACTTAATATAAGCAACATTGGTCTATTCATAGTCGGTTCTTAGTCGGTTTTGGTTCTAGCCTGTTCGCAGTCGGTTCTAGGTCAGTTTTTTAGTCGGTTCTGGTGGTCAGTTCTTAGTCGGTTCTTGTCGAGAATGGTTGGTT